TAAAGGGGTATTAGATGTTAATCAGCCAAAGGCCTAGTTAAAGAGGAATGTTTTTGCCTGACACTTAATATGTATAATAAAGGCGCCAGGCAAACCTCCCTAGGGAGAGCATTTTGCAGAGAAGGCCCTGTTCTCGTGTTGCCACCCTCCGGACCTTTCAAGGAGGAGGCACATGAAGGAGGGCCTCAGAAGATGATCTCAGGGTCCAGGTAGGCTCATATGGAAAGAGGCGGTCCTTGAGGCATTGCGGTCCTGAGCCATTTAAGGCTTTATAGGTCAAAACCAGTGTTTTAAATTCAGCCCAGTCAGTGCAGTCAGACCAGGATTGGTGTAATATGCTCAAACCATCTTGCCTCGGTGAGCAACCTGGCTGCTGAATTCTGCACTAGATGAAGTTTCCAAACTGTCTTCAGAGGCAGCCCTACGTATAAACAAATATACAAACAAATATCTAACCTTGAGGTAAAATTTAACCATATTGCATGAAAAAGAGTCTGGTTTTGCAGTCACCCCCCCCCCCAAATCAGAGCTGATGGGGAAATGTATACTTTTTGAGGAATAATAATAATAATAATAATAATAATAATAATAATAATAATAATAATAATTTATTATTTATACCCTGCCCATCTGGCTGAGTTTCCCCAGGCGCTCTGGGCGTCTTATGGAGCGAATGCAGGCTGCGCAGCTATCCCAGAAGCCAGAACAGCAAGAGGAATTGCTGCTTTCACTGTGCAGCGATCCCTCTTGCTGTTCTGGCTTCTGAGATTCAGAATTTTTTTTTTTCTTGTTTTCCTCCTCCAAAAACTAGGTGTGTCTTGTGGTCTGGTGCGTCTTATAGAGAGAAAAACACGGCAGTTGTTTATTGCCTTGACATCTGCTGGGAGGGTGTTCCACAGGGCAGGCGCCACTACAGAGAAGGCCCTCTGCCTGGTTCCCTGTAACTTCAGTTCTTGGACTGAGGGAACCGCCAGAAGACCCTCGGTGCTGGACCTCAGTGTCTGGGCTGAAAGATGGAGGTGGAGATGCTCCTTCAGGTATACAGGACTGAGGCCGTTTAGGGCTTTAAAAGTCAGCACCAACACTTTGAATTGTGCTTGGAAACGTACTGGGAGCCAATGGAGATCTCTCAGGACCGGTGTTATGTGGTCCCGGCGGCCTCTCCTAGTCACCAGTCTAGCTGTCACATTAATTGCAGTTTCTGGGTCACCTTCAAAGGTAGCCCCACATAGAGGACATTGTAGTAGTCCAAGCGGGAGATAACTAGAGCATGCACCACTCTGGTGAGACAGTCTGTGGGCAGGTAGGGTCTTAGTCTGCATACCAGGTAGACCTGGTAGACAGCTGCCCTGGACACAGAATTGACCTGCACCTCCATGGACAGCTGTGAGTCCAAAATGACTCCCAGGCTGGTCACCTGGTCCTTCAGGGGCACAGTTACTCTTGAGGAATCTGCCGTCCCAGTGATGCAGGTGGTTCCGATAGATTGCGAACCACCTGAAAGAGTCTACTGCTGCTGTTTTCTGCAGATGCAATAGAGGCAGTGAAGAAGGCCCTCTTCACCGTCACCATTGCCACTTGGTAGGCTCGATGTTGAGCTCTAGCCTGTGTCCGGTCTGATTCAGAATGAGTTTTCCGCTACTGGCAGTCTAGCCGTCTCAACAATTGTTTCATCGCCCTCAGCTCTGTGGAAAACCACGGGGCTGTCCAGGCTCCATGCAGTCGGAGAGGGAGCTTCGGAGCCAGACAGTCAATAGCCCTGGTTAACTTCTTAACAGCTTACACTCTCCAGTAAAAACTTGGCAATAACAACTAGAAGTAAAAAATACAGTACAACTAAGCAATAAGCCAGCTTAAAAAAGTGGAGCACAGAATTTAAAATGCAAATCATAACAGTATCAAGACATAAATTTGGGTTGCCATATTTCAATCAGTTAAAAACCAGGATACACCAGAAGCATTTTTCTTTACAAAAAGGCTGAAAAACTGATTTTTCAAAAATTTCCCTCTGGGTGTCAATTGAAAATTTGGACATATGGCAGCCCGACATAACGACTGCAAACAATTAAGCAATAGAAACAAACGGCACTAATTTGGCACTGCTGAGAGTGAAGAGACTGTGATTCCTGCAACGTTGGGGGTTGGATACTAGATTACCCTCGGGCGTCCCTTCCAACTCTTTAATTCTATGATTGTATAAAATGAATGGTTTTCAACAAAAGACAAAAACATAATGTTGGGTTTTGCTTAACTTCTAAAGGCCATATTCAAAAAACCAGCAAGCCTTAAAGTGTTTTAAACCATTTCCCCCCCACATTTATAACCTGCCCTCCCCCAAGGTGGGGATTGCCAGGGGAGCTCTTTTAGGAGGTTGATCTGCAAAAATGAACTGGCAAACCTTGCAGGGCATGGGGAAAAAGCACCACCACCTGCTAATTAATGTCTATGCATAAAGTTGCTGTTGAGCAGCAGGCAGGGCTAACTAAATTTGCACCTCTGACTACAAAAGAAAAGTCTGTCAAATTTATTATCAGAAGTGGTAGACAGATACTATCCATCTTAGTTGAGAATAAATAGCTCACCTCTTGGAGTGAAAGGAAAGGTTTTGATGTGGAAATGAAAACAATATCCTGATAACAACAAATCATTTACTTTATTTTGCAGGTTTTCCATATCGGGCCCTGAAGCAAACAGCTGTGGGGTGATAAGGCAAAATGATGTTAATTCTGATGCATGCAGTTCTTTATTTCATTGGATGTGCATGAAATCAGCTTTCCAGATATAAGCACAAAATGGGGTCAGGTGTTGGAAGTAAGAAACAATCTCATTCTGAACAATGAGTTGGCCACTGACTTCTTGTGCAGCTTGCAAGATTGCCTACAGCCCAGAATAGTCTGCAGTTGCCAGGATGCTCCTTAATTGACTTACAGCAGGAAGCCAAAAGCCCTAGTAATAATTTGTGTATTATGGGTAATGTTTTATGCCTCAAATGGGCAACTGTCATTAAAATCCAAACCTTTGCTAGTGTATTGGACTAAAAGCAGCCAGTTTGTCAGTTCCCTTGAGTTCCCTTTCATTCATTTATATTAATATAATACTATTATAATGCAATTAAGTGAAGAATCTGTAGCCAAAGGCAAAGGGGAATTTACCAGATATTAGGTAAAGCTAAAAGGTAAAGTTCAGTCAAAGGCGACTGTGGGGTGTGGCGCTCAACTTACTTTCAGGCCAAGGGAACCAGTGTTTGTCCACAGACAGTTTTCTGGGTCATGTGGCCAACATGACTAAACCTCTTCTGGAGCAACAGGGCACTGTGATGGAAACCAGAGTGCACTGAAATGCCGTTTACCTTCCCGCCGCAGCAGTACCTATTTATCTACTTGCACTGGTGTGCTTTCGAACTGCTAGGTTGGCAGGAGCAGGGACTGAGCAACGGGAGCTCACCCCGTCACGGGGATTCAAACCGCCGACCTTCTGATCGGCAAGTCCAAGGGGCTTAGTGGTTTAGACCACAGTGCCACCCACTCCTTACCACCCTTATCAGATTTTACTCTATGCCAGGACTGCATATTTTCTCCCAAAGCAAGTATCTTTATTTTACATTTCCCCCCATGGTTTCAGATAATATGTGTAATGCCACTCCTTTTTAAAAACAAATAAATGAAACCACAAGACAACAAGCTAAGAGTTCTGTTAACACACCGTGTGTTTGCTTCACCACCGTTTCGGGAAATGAAAAACTATTGCATTTTCCACTGTAAAGAGCATAGCAGAAATTCTGAGAAGTGGCCAAGTGTTCAGAGGCCACATTTCCTGTGTGGCTGTTCTCCTCCTCCTCCTTTTATCTGAGCATTGGTCAGGGAGTGCACCTTTTCATTCATCGCTGAATTTGGTTCTCAGTTTCAGAAAAGGTCTATTATTCTGCCAGTCTTTTGCCAGTTAATGGGTTGTTTCACCTGTTGAGGAATCGACCATAAAAGCATATTTCCAAATAGAGGATGAGAAGGCTTTGTGGTGCATAGATTTCAACCAATCATAGATCAAAGAAGACAAACCCTTCTGTTGCAAGTCCAAGGTAAATATTTATATGAGGAATTAAAAAGTGGATTAAATCGAGAACTTTATTTCCTTCAAATATGTCCACGTTTCTGCCCATCCAGTGGCCAGACATAACTGCTTTGAGAACCACACGGTACAAAAGGGAGTATGGGTGTAATTTAAATAAAAGGATTGCCATATCTATCAGGGCACAATGCTGTTGGTTTTTCACTGCCAATCACAAGGCCAAATCCCGGCATTTCCATTTTCTGAGAGGCTGGAGGAGTGATTTGGCAGCTGTCTGTTTGTGCGTCTTCAAAAGGGGTCGACTGTGTTGTGTGATCAAACAAACCTATATCAGCTCTGTTTGCCATCATCTTCCACCCATAGGAAGATTCCTGGTTCAAGATCTAGGTTCCTGGAGAGGGAGGCCAGCCTGAAGACTTGGTCCTGTGGCAGGAATGGGATTTCTAGACCTTGTAGAGAGTGCCATCCTAAGAATGGGTTATGCTGCTGGTCATTAGGCGACATAGCAAGCAGAAATCAAAACTGTGAAGGCTGGGATGGCTCCGCAGCTTCTGCCTGTATCAACTGCAGAAACAGATGCAGGGAGAAGCTGCAGATCTATTCTAGAGCCTATATATATAGGATATATATATATATATATGAAATTTCCCAAAAAACCCCAAAAGCCGGTGTACAGCTTCCAGGTCATGTGGCCAGCATGACTAAGCCACTTCTGGCGAACCAGAGCAGTGCACGGAAATGCTGTTTACCTTCCCGCTGGAGTGGTACCTATTTATCTACTTGCACTTTGACGTGCTTTCGAACTGCTAGGTTGGCAGGAGCAGGGACCGAACAATGGGGGTTCACCCTGTCGCGGGGATTTGAACCGCCGACCTTCTGATCGGCAAGTCCTAGGCTCGGTGGTTTAACCCACAGAGCCACCCGTGTCCCTTGCACCCAGGAGTACCCACAAGTTATTTACAGGCAACAACCATTTTCCGCATGTTCAAAGCACACACAACCGTGCACCCATGCATTGCTGTGGACCCAGAAGTGAAGGAAAAGGGGTTGTAATACGGTTTGGGCATAATGGGGCGGGGTGGGCTTACATGTGGTCCACCATTGTGTGCGATGACCCAGAAAGCAATCCCCATCAAAACGGGGGTTGCCATCTGTCACGGCTGCTTTAGTTGAGATTACTGCATTGTAGGGGGTTGAACCCTTGGAAGTACCTTCCAACTCTTTGATTCCCAGGGCTTCCGCAGCCTCTCCCAATACAGAACTTATTGAGCTACATGTCATTAGAGTGCTGATGGCACCATATTCCAGAACTCCCAATGGCTTCATATTAAGTAGAACTGGAGGCAGAAAGTGCCCTACAGAACCCAATAGCACAAATGCCACGGGTTCAAAAAGCACTATCTCAATGCTACTCTCTGGACTAGACCACACATAGGAATGGAACCACTTGTTCCCAGGGGTCCATCTGTTTGCACATATGTGTCAATGGTATGTCTAAACCCACATATGTGTATAGACTTGACGTACACTCTCGAGAGGAATGGAGCCTTTTGCACGGGGTCAGTATATGCGTCCATTTAAAATGTGTGCATGCCTTTAACACTTTTGCCTAATCAAGAATTTGTCATATGAGGAAGTTGTAAGGATTTGGTTTATTACATGGAAATGAAAGAGACAGAATATATGGGCGCTGCTTTAGAAAGTGGCTCAGAAATGCACACTTGATTTTCTTCTTTCACCTCCAACAAAAGACTCAAGACAACAGCATGATTAAGCCAAGTTGGCCATTCTCTGCTTCAAAGAGAGGAAAAGCTGCCCTTGATGGAGACTTGGAAAATTTAGTTGGTCCAAAAATGCAGAGACCAGATTACTGGCTGGAGTTCTCATTTGCATCTCCTATGTTGCCTGTTCACCCCAGTGGATCTTGGGTTAGGATGGTGCCCTAACTTCTGCTCCTTGTATAAGTATCAGGCTGGCTACAGATCCAGTTTCTTGCTACCTGACAATCTGACACGGCAATGTCAGTGCTCAGAAATGCACACTCTCCGTCTTCTTTCAGCTCCAACCTGCAGCAAAAGAACCAAGAAAACAGTATCAAGCCAAGGGGGGCATTCTCTGTTTCACAGAAAGAGGAAAGTGTCCAAAATGACATATTTCAGAGCACAGATGTATTGTACTTCTGTCTGTGCTCATAGGAACCTTAAGATTGACTACAGTGGTCCCTCTTTAGTGATAAGAGGTAGGGCCTCCTTGGTGCTGGCACCAGCAGTTAGGGAATTCTCTCCCAGTTGTCTATTATACAATTTTAAAAATATTTTTTTCAATATCCATCTAAAAATGGGAAAATAGGTCATCAAGGTCCTTCATCTTCCCATTTTAAATGGACATATGTATAAAATCACAGATGTTCCTCACTTGGGAGCCAGTGTGGTGTAGTGGTTAAGAGCGGTGGACTTGTATTCTGGTGAACTGGGTTCGCGTCTCCGCTCCTCCACATGCAGCTGCTGGGTGACCTTGGGCCAGTCACACTTCTCTGAAGTCTCTCAGCCCCACTCACCTCACAGAGTGTTTGTTGTGGGGGAGGAAGGGAAAGGAGAATGTTAGTCGCTTTGAGACTCCTTCGGGTAGTGATAAAGTGGGATATCAAATCCAAACTCTTCTTCTACTTAATCTTGCCTACTTTTTAATAAACATTTAAGCATGCTGTTTTGTCCTGATTACAGTGTTGCTGTGGTTCTACTTATAATAGGTTTCTAGTGCTATTTTTATTTTGTGTATGTAAGCTTCTGCAACGAGCTGGTGAACTTGTGCTAGAACTCATTACAAATAATAAAAAAGATATTTTGCTAACTCTCTGTGGTTGTTCCACAAGATTCCCCCACACCCACCCATCACAATTTTGATCCCAATCCTCCCTAACCCCATCCCTTTGTGGTACATTAATCTGAGAATTGGGATAACATCTAATAATTTCTAAGAAATATTATAACCATGTACAAATGTGGAAGAATGGCAGATCTGTTTCTAGGCAATTGTCAGGCTACTTGGTGGTTTCCATCCCAGAGTCCAGACACTGAAGAGAACAAGGACTCACGTGTTCTTGAATTCTTGCCCATTTCCCCATTTCCAGGTTTGTCCAGAGTCCTTCCTCAGGCCAATCCAGTGACCAGTGTCCCTGATGTAGCGCAGAATGAATGCCTTAAAGCCACACAAAATTCAGATTTAGAACTGCTGTCTTCAAAGAAATCCCTTCTTATCCCTCTGTGTTGGTGTGATTCTATGATTCTGTAGTGGAGCTGATCTTAGCTGGCTGCCTATACAGCAGCAGCATGGGGTGGGTGATGTGGTGGCCGCACTCTGTATTTGCCAGGATGAGAATGGTACCTCTGGTTATGAACTTAATTTGTTCCAGAGTCCGTTCTTAACCTGAGGTACCACTTTAGCTAATGGGGCCTCCCGCTGCTGCCGCGCCGCCGGTGTGCGATTTCTGATCTCATCCTGAGGTAAAGTTCTTAACCTGACTTCTGGGTTAGTGGAGTCTGTAACCTGAGGTGTTTGTAACCCAAGGTACCACTGTACATGGATTCTGTATTACCATCAGCCCTTCTCACTGTAATACTTGTTTAAACATTTATCTACAATGATGTACATCATAGGTGACCCAACGACATCCTAGTCCTTCGTCACCTTTCCAAAATCTTGCATATCAATATATTTGAAAACATGGCAAACAAAATGGTTGCCCGGCGGCTGAGATGGAGAATTTGCTCATGTCCCAAGTTATGACGATTCAAGATGAATCAAGAGTTGACTTTGTGTTTCTGTCAGGGCTGTATAGCAGTAATTCTCTCACAGACTTAATAGCCTCTCAAATGTCATTGGTTGGACGTACCTTTTCTTGCTCACTGTCAATCACAGCCAGGACGGAATTATGTGAATCACAAAATATCTGACTGGAAGCCCAATCTCCTTTTTCCTCTGAGAAAAAGTAGCATTTTCCCTCATAGTTGATCCACAAAGCTGGACAGGCTCGAACAGATGACACCTCACAGTATGGCTGATTAGTATACTGTGCTGCAAATGTAAGAGAAAGAAAACTCTCCTCTGAACTTGCCTATATTATTATTATTATTATTATTATTATTATTATTATTATTATTATTATTATTTTAAGATTACCAATGCTAAAATATGAGTAGATATGATCATAAAATGATGAATATTTGTGCAGAATTCCACCCCCCCTTACATTCACACCTGGCCCAAGACATTTTGCCACCTGAGGCGAACTACAAAATGGTGTGTCCCTTCCTGACAGGGAAGAAAGGGTGAGTGAAGATATACATCAGGAACAAGCAGGGAGGGAAATCATATCAACCTCACCTGATGGTTGAAGTGGGAATCAAAGGCCCCTTGTGATGGGGAAAGGGATCTGAATCATGCCAGGAGACCCCAGAGGACAGTCCTTGCCATTTCTTCCCTAGGGTACCTGAGCAGGGGTTGCTGTGGGTAGAACGTTGGCATCTCCACTTGGCAGACCTAGCACTGGCACTCACCAGCAGTAGGGGGCAATGGCCAGCGGGCAGAGGCCTAGAACAATGCACTAAAAATAATAATAATTCAGAAAACTCACCTGCCCACCAAACTATTAATAGGATGCTTATGATTACAGCTATGATAATAGTTCTTTGGTTTACACACTGTTGATTCTCTGAAAGGAAATAAAACAGACAAATGAGGAGGGCCATGCTAATGCCTGAAATGGGGCAAGGAGAATATATAATTTATTTTATCTCAGTGGCATTTTGCAGTTCTGGTCATAGGAACAAAATGAACAAATTTGGGGAGGGGGGAACTACCAAACTGTAAGAAAACGAGGGAAACTGCAAATGCACAGAAGCACGCTTGATTTAACCTAACAGCACGGCCGGCCCTACTGTTAGGCAGCCAGTTTTGGATATCATGAGAGAGGGTTCAAATTATTCATCACTGAATGTATTATTGTTGCTGTTATTTTTGCTGCTCTGCCTCGGGCACCAAACATGTTTCCATCTGATTCCCCCCTCCCCCCCTTTATGACACTACATAAGCCAGGTTTTTTTGTTTTCTTGGGGTTTTTTTGCTTTTGAAATGTTAAACAGTTCTGTTATCTTCTGGTTTCTTAGCTTTCTCCCCATCTCGTGTAGAAAAATCACAGATGATTGGGCATAGAAGCATGCATATTCATGCTGCCCCCCCCCCCGCCCAGGTGCTGGAATGTGACAGCTCTGGTAAATCAAAAGTGGCTTTTTGCTGGTCTTCCCCACTCAAATGTTCTCCTGCCCGGACCTCTTTTGAAGACGGACAGAGCAGCAGTGTAATCAACCTGCTCCTCTATCATGTGCTATTTTTTTAAAAAAAACTTGATATAGATATACAGTGGTACCTCGGGTTAAGAACTTAATTCGTTCTGGAGGTCCGTTCTTAACCTGAAACTGTTCTTAACCTGAAGCAACACTTTAGCTAAGGGGCCTGCTGCTGCCACCGCGCCACCAGAGGACGATTTCTGTTCTCATCCTGAAGCAAAGTTCTTAACCTGAAGCACTATTTCTGGGTTAGCGGAGTCTGTAACCTGAAGCATATGTAACCCGAGGTACCACTGTAATGTGGTCCTCCAATATTCAATAGTATATTGAGGTCCCCTGTTCAGTAGTATTTTGTTTCCAGTGTCTCACAGCGTTGTACGGCCTTTCCTACTCACCTTGCATTGCAGGTCCTTCATTTGCTCTTGCTTCGGGATGATTCCTTAAACAAAAGAACATGCTTGATCGGATTGTGGGTCTTTCTAATCTATCCGCATTGCTCTTATTATTCCTTGCACTCCTTTGTTGCTTGGTGGTCCCACAGGATCTCCTTTGAGCTAGACGCCGTGAAACATCTCTTTCCTGGATGCTTGCAGCTAGTTCTCAGACTCCATCACAAGTAAATGTGAAGATGTGACCCACTTTGCATTCACTCAAACTGAACTGCACTTGCCATTTTATTGCCCAGTTTCGCCCATCTTAAATTGCTCTGCTGTTGGGCACCTTTGGAAGCGCTTTATACAGTGGTACCTCAGGTTAAGAACTTAATTCATTCCGGAGGTCTGTTCTTAACCTGAAACTGTTCTTAACTTGAGACACCACTTTAGCTTATGGGGCCTTCCGCTGCCACCGTGCCGCCACCGCACAATTTCTATTCTCATCCTGAAGCAAAGTTCTTAACCTGAGGTACTATTTCTGGGTTAGCAGCATCTGTAACCTGAAGCGTCTGTAACCTGAGGTACCACTGTATTCTGCTTGGGGGTTGTTGTCGTTTTTTTAAAACAATAAACAATGCTTTGCTGTTGTCTTCCCCTTTGCCCTCTTCCCTAACTCAACAGTCATTACTGAATAAATCCAGTAGAAATAATCCCTTGGTGGACCCCACTGCATATTTCTCCCAATTTTGCTCTGTCTAGACCCTGAGAAGCAGCACCAAGGACCTTCTGGCAGTTCCCTCACTGCAAGAAGTGAAGTTACAAGGAAGCAGGCAGAGGGCCTTCTCGGTAGTGGCACCCGCCCTGTGGAACGCCCTCCCATCAGATAAGGAGATAAACAGCTAACTGACATTCAGAAGACATCTGAAGGCAGCCCTGTATAGGGAAGGTTTTTAATGTTTGATGTTTTACCGTGTTTGTATATCCTGTTGGAATCCATCCAGAGTCGCTGGGACAACCCAGTCAGATGGTCCGGGTACTAATAAAATTATGATGATGATGATTACTTTTATACTTTGTTCTTCAAATAGTAAATTGGAGGAAACCTGCTCCTGCATGAGTTCAAATGTGGGGGTATTTTTAGTAAGGGATTTTGCAAAAGTATATATATATATAGAGAGAGAGAGGGAGAGAGAGAGAGAGTAATGTTTAATGGATCAGCTTTATCTACATGTTTGTTAAGAAGGATTCAGAAAGACTGTTTTTGTTTTTTGAAAGTATGTGTCATTTTTCTCTTCCTGGTTTGTTTATTTGCTTAGTAATTCCTAGGTTTTGTAATGCTTTCCACAAATCTATGTGAGATACACATTAAGTGCATGGGCCTGTGATTTCCTGATTCTCCCCCAAATATAGCATTATAAATTTGGGGTGTGTGTGTGTTAAGCTGTATGCCAGACTCCTCTAATCCCTTGATCCAGCAAGCGTTAAAAGCTAACCAAGCCTTCTAATTCCTGGAATAGCTAAGGTAGCTTCCTGGAGAGGCAATGGGGTATTAAGCAGCTTGTGCCAGATGGAAAATGAATTTTGCCACCTCCCTCAACAGACAAAACCAGAGTTGAGGACAGAAAGTTACAGGGATGTGAGCCAAAGGAAAAGCAGCAAGCTGGAGAGAGAGTTGGGGCAACATGTTATTTGTTTTTACCTTCTCTGGCGTAGGACATTTCTCTGTGGCTGACCATCGTCCATTTCTTCCTTCAAGACAGCAGGACCTGGACTCTCCTGTCCAAGGTCAGGAGAGTCGGAACTGGGTGTGGCAGCCGGGCCCCAGCTGAGCTCTGATATGACGGTAGTTGGATCTTTGGTTACTATCTGGTTACTATTCAGGCTCCTTTGCTGAAAAACGTGGCTCAGCCATGGCCTTCTTCTATTTGATGTGCCCACATTCCTTCAATGTTCTTTCACAGTCTTCCCACAGTTTTTGAAACAGGCCCCCCTGCCCCCTTCTTTGACTTTTCTCCCTTCCATCCCATAATTCCACTGTTCACTACCCCTTCTCTGCAAACCACCATAAGAACAATTTCATAATCATGTAATGAAGTGACAATGCAACAGCAAATATCTTCCTATACATATATAAATGTAAGGTTTTTGTCATTCAGGCCCTGCAGCGCTGTATCACAATCCTGGATTTGGATGAAGTCAGACTATAGCCCCCATTGGAGGATTTCTAGTGCCTCACCAAGATCCTGGAGTTGCATTAAGTCAGGGAGGGGAGCAAGAGGGAAGGCAAGCTAAACAACAGCAGTTGCTGTAAATATGCTATACTGTACTTCAAACCAGCAAAGCAGTTCCACAGGGACTTTAAGTAGACACTGTAGCAACACCAAATCACATTACTCTCATTCACACAATCCCACTCTTTCCCTGATTGTCTTTCTACTTGCCAGTTTAGAAGCTATTTGGCTCCAGCAGCAAACTTCAGAATTGCAGGAAGTGTATGTGGAAGCTGGAAGGAAGCTGCCACCCGTTGTTTTGCTGTCCTGGGTGCTGTCAGAGTGCTCTCCTCGATATTTGTTGTCTGAGTCACTCTTCTCAGTTGTGGAAGAGAAAATGAGCAGCTGTAGAAACAGTGACAGGGAAAGACAAGCTATGTTTGCTTGAGGAAAGTGGCAATGCAGGGTGTGGTCAAATTCCGATATGAGCTTGCTTTCACTTAACATGTTGGACTTTCTGGAACAGATGTCAAAGTCAGGTCATATGGTGCCTTTTACAGCTGCTCAAGACCTTGGCAGCAGATCAAATTCACGGTTATAGGGCATCGAAGCCATCCTTCAGAATTTGTGCTTGCAATGCAGCTTTCCTGCCAAGCCTTCTGTACAAATGCACTTATTAGGGGAAACTGTGCAAAAATGCAAATACTAGTGAAAAAGAGCATACAAGAATGCATTATATAAGGGGCTTAAGACAGCTAAAAATTGTGTATTTTAGGCAAAATTGCACAGAAAGATGTGTTTATTCAGACAGATTAACAGTAAAATGCTGGTGAATTTTCAAAAGGACTTTTAAAAAAATTACTAACTGATGTGTAAATGTGGAGAACTGAATTCAAGAGTGAGAAACGAAAAATGACAGATTAGCCCAACTGTTGTGTGGGGTCCCTATCTGCAATTGCATATCTAGTGTGGGCTCCCTAAAAATAAGTTGTGAACATAGTTGATGGTCCATCAACTTTCACAGCACCTTCTCAATCTGTGCACTGGTTGCCTGTCTTGCTCCAAGCACTGATATTTTCCCACTGTTTTATTCCATTTCACTTTATGGAAGACAATCTTACTCGGCTATGAGTGATTGCCAAAGAAGAAGAAGACCATTTTCTAGCAAGGTTCTCAACAATTTGCCCAGAAGTTGAAATTGCTTTATCAAGGCATAGCATTGATAACAATGCTTGGTGTCATTACAAATTGTTTAGCCCTACACTGATCAACTTGCAAAGGCCAAACTTGCAAAGTATCACCATTTAACAACTACTGTATGGTGTGTATTCATGTGTGCTGAACAAGCCTCTTCCTTGGTGAAGATTTTTTTTCATTTCAGCAAGCATTTTAAGTGAGTTTCCCTAATGTTATGGTTAATTTTAACTATTTCCAGTCAGTTATAATGAGTCATAACCTTGTTGAATATTGCTTAGAAGGTGCATTGGTAAGTGGTTTATAAATGACTGAAATAAAAATAATTCATAAAGTATTTTCGTTCTTAGAAAAGAAGTCAATCGGTCAATCATTTTATTTCTATGCTGCCTTTCCAAAGTTAACACCTGGAGGAAGAACGGTGGAAACCACCTGACTAAGAGCCCCCCAGGGATAGCCCAAAGGAAGAGGATTTGGATTGGGGCTCCTGGTGGTGGACAACTGTACACATCCCAGAGAAGGAGAAGACCTGGGAGGTAGTAAAGATTGGCAGCTTGGAGGATGAGAAAAAGGAGGAAACAAGCTGGTGTCTCAGCACAGAGCAAAGGCAGGTGTCAGACTTAGCAGCAGTGTTTCTGCTGAAAGCCTGGCAGCACCTCCCACTCCCAAGGCACGGTGTTTGCTCCACATAACAGAGCACCCAAATCCAACTCAATGGTGTAACACTGGAAAATGTTGATCACTTCTCCTACCTAGGCAGTTATCTTTTCACAAGGGCCAACACTGATGCCGAAATCCAGCATCGCCTGAGCTCTGTGAGTGCTGCTTTCTCCCAATTGCTTGTTTACAAAGCTATTGTACTACCAACCTGACTATATACTTCTGAAACATGGACCACTTACAAACGCCATCTCCAACTCCTCAAAAGATTCCATCAATGGTGTCTCTGAAAATTTTTACACATCAATTGGAAAGACAGGCGAACTAATATCAGTGTACTGGAAGAAGCAAATATCACCAGTGCCAAAGCAACGATTCTTCAACATCAACTCCGTTGGACTGGTCATGTTGTGTGGATGTCTTCCAAAGCAACTACTCTATTCTGAATTTAAAAATGGAAAGCGTAATGCTGGTGGTCAACGAAAGAGGTTTAAAGAGTGTCTCAAGGCAAATCTAAAAAAAAGTAGAATAAACACTGACAACTGGGAAAAACTGGCCTGTGAGCAGGAGCAGGAGAACAGCCTTTACCAAAGATGTCATGGGCTTTGAAGACACTCGAACTCAGGACGCAAGGGAGAAATGTGCTAGGAGGAAGGCACACTTGGCAAATCCACACCGTAATCAACTCCCACCCGGAAACCAATTTCCCCACTGTGGAAGGACGTGTGGATCCAGAATTGGCCCTCACAATCACTTATGGACTCATTGTTAAAACCGTGTTTATGGAAGACAATCTTATTCTGCTACGAGTGATCGCCAAAGAAGATGTATGTATGTATGTATGTATGTATGTATGTATGTATGTACTGTATGTATATATGTATAAATAAATAAAATATTACTAACCAGACATGAACTTTTACCATGTAAATTTCTTTTTAAGTGCATGTTAAACTGGTTGATTTTATCCACATTTCGGCAATTTATCTCTGCTGATTTCAGTTTCTTTTCTTATTGCTTCTTTTTTCTTATTGCTGTTTTTAACGAGCCACTTAAAGATGTTTTTTAAATAAGCGGTGTGTGAATCTTGCTAAATAAATAAAATAAAAGGCAGACATCTATTTTGATGAGGAAGAAAAAGGAACCATCTGGATTCTTGTTACCCTCACCTTTCTGCACCAGGAAGCTCTGCTTCAGTTTTTCAAAGACCAGAAAACTTAACCTGACTTCAACTACATTGGTTAGCAGCAGCGCTTCCTTCAACGAATTACATTGGTTGGCCGGCTTGACTAATATATACACTTCCCTTGCAGCAGCTAAGTTGTCCCATATCACACACAGTCTCTTGGCCTTCTTTGCTTCCAGCGGAATGACAGATGGCTCTATCTATCTTGACCTTGCTCTCCCTTCAGCTCCAACCTCTGCCAGGCTGCTTCACCCCTCACAAGGATCAGGTAAGTTTTAATGTTGGGGAGCGGGGAGAGGGTGTTTTTTCGCAAGGCTCCAAGCTGTTACTTACAGCACGGAAAAAACAGCAAGTCTGCAGGGGCTGAAATATTTTTAGAGCAAATGTAGCCACAGAAGGAGAGTGTGTTGCCTTTTGTGTGAGCATGTACAGTAGTTAGTCAGAATAACTAACTGTAGAGGGTTGCTATAAAGATGGGCACTTCAGCAATATTTCATTTTCATATCTTTATTAATCTAAAATAAATACATTTATGAAAAACAGACGTGCATACAAGTAAGCAAACATACAATCAAACAAACAAACAAATAACAGAAAAATCAAACAAACCACCACACTATAAGCTATAAGGAGATTAATATATCATCATATATACTCCTGGTATTGAACACAATTATAAAATTTATAGAAAAGAAATTTAAAACTGACTTCCAATTAATCTCACTGTACTTTGTCTGTCCAACCCCCTGCAATGCAGGAATCTCATCTAAAGCATCCATGACAAGTGGCCATCCAACCTCTGCTCAAAATCCTTCCAGGAAAGAGAGTCTGCTGCCTTCCTAGGGAGTCTGTTCCACTGTCAAACAGCTCTTACTGTCAGAAAGTTCTTGGTGATGTTTAGTTGGAATCTCCTTTCTTGTAACTTGAAGCCACTGGTTCAAGTCCTAGCCTCTGGAACAGGTTAAAACATGGGTAGGCAAACTAAGGCCCGGGGGCCGGATCCGGCCCAATCGCCTTCTAAATCCGGCCCACAGACAATCTGGGAATCAGCGTGTTTTTACATGAGTAGAATGTGCCCTTTTATTTAAAATGCATCTCTGGCTTATTTGAGGGGCATAGGAATTCGTTCCCTCCCCCCCAAAAAATATAGTCTGGCCCCCCACAAGGTCTAAGGGACAGTGGACCGGCCCCCTGCTGAAAAAGTTTGTTGACCCCTGGGTTAAAACAAACTTGCTTCATCTTCCATGTCACAGGCCTTTAGATATTTGAAGATGTCTATCCTATCTCCTCTCAGTCTCCTTTTTCCCACATACCCAGCTCCTTCAACCCTTCCTCCTAAGTCTTTGTTTCCAGACCCTTGACCATCTTGGTTGCCCTCCTCTCCACACGTTCTAGCTTCTCAATATCCTCCTTAAATATTGTTGGACCACAGCTCCTATCAGCCCTGGTCAGCATGGTCAATAGGCAGGAATGAAGAAAACGGTAATCTAGAAACATCCGAAAGGCTTCAGGTTCCCTACTGCCACCCTGTCCAGTTCCTATATTTTATTTATTCTAAAACTTATATCCTGCTTATCTGCCCAACAGAAGACTCTCAAAACACATACAAATTTAATAAGCAAATATATGATAATAAAAGAGCAGGGGGAAATGACAAGCCTTCTTGAGGGAAGTAAAGCAATGCAAGCTATCTAGTTCTTAACGTTGGTGGGCATAAGAACATCAGAACTAGGGATGGGGAGAAATTCAGTTCAGTTTGCATTTGGAGGCAAGCTTACCCGATCTACACTTTCAGAAACAGCCACCCTTTGAAATATGCCCTTTTCTGAATTTTGCAATTCAGTCCTGCAGCTGAGGAATGTGTAGTAATGTTAGGGTGAAGAGTTCATATACATGGCATAACATGCATTGCATTAGAAAAAATGCTAGGCAAAATGTACATTTTTTAAAATGGAATACAGAAATGTGCCTATTATGGAAAAAAATCAGACTAAGATGCTGAAGAATTCTCAGTTTGCTTAATTGCACAACTACAATTCATTTGTCATAAACAATAAACAAAGCATCATACATTTTTGTACACAAGTAATGTGTACAAAAATGTATGTACTGGGGTAAAAGTGTGCATTAAAATGCACATATTTGTGATAATAACAAGGCATTATATTAGGGGAAATTATTTTGCAAATATGCGTATATTTTGCAAAAGCATGTATATTAGGAGAAAGTCACACTGAAATGCTGGTTATTTTTTCACCAGCAAACAAATATGGAAATGTGGACTGGAAAAATGGAAAACTAAGAAACTGAAATGGACACATTTGCCCATCCCTAGCAATATGCCCTGCCCTCAGTGGAATAAATGCAGGGGGGAAAGGGTTAAAAGGCCGTGCCCTTCCCCGGATGATAAGCTCCCATTTGCAGGCACTGTGGTTGCATTGTATAAATGCAAACCCACTAAATAAAGAATCACATGTAACCTCTTTAACCTACAGTTCCGGAGATCAGCGTGTGAAAGGAAGGACATGGTCAGACCTTGCTAAATTAAACCTTGTTGCTATATCTCTGCTGCAGCAGAACTGCTTCTTCTTTGAGCATATTCAGTGCTTCCCCCCCTAGAAAAATAGGGGCTGGTACTTACGATGAACTTGTTACAGTAAATGTCACACTTTCTATAACCAAAATAAGAGAGGTGCCGTACTCACCATGAAGTTGTTGCCGTTTTTTTAACCATGAAGTTGTTACACTTTTTTTAACAACAACAACAAAAAAAGAGGTTCTGGTACTGTGTACCCTTGAGTAAAGGTACAGGTAAAGGGACCCCTGACCACTAGGTCCAGTCGTGACCGACTCTGGGGTTGCGGCGCTCATCTCACTTTATTGGCCGAGGGAGCCGGCGTACAGCTTCCGGGTCATGTGGCCAGCATGACTAAGCCGCTTCTGGCGGACCAGAGCAGCGCATGGAAACGCCGTTCACCTTCCCACCAGAGCGGTACGTATTTATCTACTTGCACTTTGATGTGATTTCGAACTGCTACCCTTGAGTACCCCATGAAAAAAAGCACCACCTAACCCTAACACCAATGCTAACCCTAACCCCAACCCTACTCCTAACCCTTAATGCCAACCCTAACCCTAAAACTAACACTGACCCTAAACCCAACCCTAACCCTACCTCCAACCTTAACCCTCACCCTACCTCCAACCCTAACCCTAACTCCAACCCAACCCCTATTCTTACCCCCTACCCCTACCCCTAGAACCAACACTAATACTAACCCCAACCCTACCTCATACCTTAACCCTAACCCTACCTATAACCCTAACCATAAACCCAACCCTAACTCTAAACCCAACCCTAACACTACATTTAACCCTAACCCTAACCCATCTCCAACCCTGACCCTTGTTAACACATTTTAATTGATTAGTAAAAGCTCCAAGGACCTGTCCAAAACTTTGTAAAGAACAAAACATAGCTATATTTCTGCTTATGAATACAATTATTCAAGCATAGATGACTCGAAATAACACCGTCCGTCTCTCTCCCTCCCTCCCTCGCTCCCTCCACCCATCTTGCCTTTTTCAAATCCAGACTGATGCAGAATTCTGGAGAAGAGAACTCAAAGGCTTTCACACTATTTTATAGCATTTTGCTTTGCCAAATACAATCATACCTCGGGTTACAGACACTTCAGGTTGCGCTTTTTTGGGTTGCAGACTGCTGAAACCTGGAAGTACTGGAAAGGGTCAGCAGTCATGCATGCGCTGATGCGCTAAATTGTGCTTTGCAAATGCGCAGAAGTGCCGAATCGCAACCCGTGTGTGCGCAGACGCGCCGCTGTGGGTTGTGAACATGCATCCCGCACGGACCACGTTCGCAACCTGAGTGTCCACTGTAAAGGTATTCCCCTGATATGGATATGATGTTAAATAACTGTTAATTTCAGGAGTGTTTTCTCATCTTGCCAATTGCGGAAAGCCCCAGGGACGCATTTCAGCCGAACAAAAGCACTCTAGGAGGGTGCAAGGCTGGAGGGGTTTGAGCCTGGGAAAAGGGGGAGGGTCACAAGGGGAGGACACACAGAGAAGCCTTGAGGGCCAGGTTTGGGCTTCAGGTCTGAGGTTCTGTACCTTTGTGTTGGGGAACCTAGTATTAATAAAGTCAAATTTACAGGTGCCTCACCACATTCTCTGGGGCGACGGACTGCTCTCTGGATTGGATGGGGTGGAAATGTCATCCTAGGGGTCACCGTGATAGCCCTGTGTAAGTACAGAGCACTTTTATTTATTAATTTATTTCCATTTATAGGTTGTTTCTTGTGAAGTGACTTAACAATAGAACCATCAGCCATTTAAAACAGCAACAGCAATGGCAGAGATTTCAAATATGAAACAATTAAAGACAAATATAAAAACCCATTTCAAATCCAACACAGATACAGGCTGCAATGAAAATCTACGCTCAAAGGGGTTGTTGAAATAGGAAGGTCTGCATTAATAGTCAAAACATAATTTGGCAGTAGTTCCTGGGAGCAAAGGTGGCCTGTTCCATTTTGCCTCTGAGGTGAAACAGGGAATGTGCCACCCTCTGCCAAAACCATTGCATTCTGCTCAAAAATTGTACAAAAAAGGAACAGGTCAGGGCATTTTCATACTTTAGAATATATATATACATACACACACACACACACACACACACATATATATATATATATATATATATATATATATATATATAATAAAGCCAATAGAGTATTTCGTATAAACAGATTTTATCGTACTGTACTGAGCTGCAACATAAAAACAGGTTATATGTTCAGAAGTTCATAATGCAGGGGTACCTTGGTTTTCGAACACCTCCGTAGTCGAACGTTTCGGAACTCGAACGCTGAATACCCGGAAGCAAATGCCTCAGTTTTCAAATGTGCCTCGGAAGTTGAACAGAAAATGCAGCTTCTGTTTTGAGTTTTCTGTGTTGAGGTTTCCGCTTTCAGTGTTCGGTTTTCAAATGTTTTGGAACTTGAACGGACTTCCGGAATGCATTGTGTTTGAAAACCGAGGTAGCTGTAACTGGTTCACATTGCAATAAACTAACAAGGGAAAATAATAATAATAATAATAATAATAATAATAATACTTTTTTTGCTTTGTTTCCTGTTTATTGCTTGTGAACAAATAAAGGCGTCACAGTGTAGTAGCTGTACCAGCTTGGCCCCACGACTGTGGGTGTCTGGGGCCGTGGGTGCCATGCAGCGTGCACCAAAATTTGTGGGTGCCCGGCCCCTTCATGGGTAATTTTGTGGGTGCTTGGGCACCTAAGACCTTAGGGAGTTGGCACCTATGCAGTGTAGTGAGTTGACAGAAAGTGTGACTGCAGTTGTTCTTGAGTGGCTCAGTGTCTGGCCATTTAAGTTATTGTCAAAAACTGATTTGTCTGGTTTTCACAGCCTAAAGATTTGTCTTGAACAATTGATCATACATGAGTTCTAAATATTAGAAAGTTACAGGCAGTCTTTCCGAACATGAGCTGTTATCTTAAAGGACATACTGTGATATTCTCCTTTAATTAAAAAACAACAAACTCGCTTTATTTCAACGATGAAGGGAAAATCCATGGGGAACACTGGATTCAAGAAAGGAAGAGAAAAACAATTAGGTACCATAACAAAAAACACTAAACAGTCTTTGAATTTCTTCGCAGTTTGTTGATCACTTAAAATTAACCTCCTTATTTGAAGGTTTTCAGACATGGAACCTCATGGGTGAACTGGAGAAATCCTGTGTCCCTCAGGGTGAAATGGAAAATAATCTATGCCTAGAGAATGTGACTTCGCTGCAGCAATTTTTCTGTAAGCCGCTTGAAAACAGCTCAGCAGGTAACTGGGGTGTTGTTTCTCAATAAGGCTCAAGGAACACATATCAAAAAAATGGGGGCTGCTGCCTTTTGGGACTGGGGGTGGGGTAGAAGGCGGGAAGACCACAGAGAGAGGGAGCCACAGTCAAAGAGAGGCTGAGCCAACTAATTGTCGTTTTGTCCCTATCCTCTTCCCAAACAAATACAGTGGTACCTCGGGTTACATACACTTCAGGTTACAGACTCAGCTAACCCAGAAATAGTACCTCGGGTTAAGAACTTTACCTCAGGATGAGAGCAGAAATTGCGACAGCGGGAGGCCCCATTAGCTAAAGTGGTGCTTCAGGTTAAGAACAGTTTCAGGTTAAGAACGGACCTCCGGAACAAATTAAGTACTTAACCCGAGGTACCACTGTATACCCACAATGTAACTGGCTGTGTTTAACTATATAAATTCTTTATTCATCATATAAACATAACTCTTTTCACATTATCTAATTGAGTAGAAGCAAGTAAGAAGCAACATCTAAAACAGGAAATACAAATAGATCAGTTCTTATTTACGTAATGACCAAACAGAAGCTCTTGTGTTCCATGTATGTCTTAGTGAATACAAGTGTCAAACGTAACAACTTTAAGGAGCAGTACTTGCAAAAGATGAACTTTTCTTTGTATGGGTTAAGAACTTAATTCGTTCCGGAGGTCCGTTCTTAACCTGCCACCGCGTCGCCGGAGCACGATTTCTGTTCTCATCTTGAAGCAAAGTTCTTAACCCGAGGTACTATTTCTGGGTTAGCGGAGTCTGTAACCTGAAGCGTATGTAACCTGAAGCGTATGTAACCCTTCAGAGGCACCACTGTAATGTTCCACATCTGCCTTTGCAGAGTGAAGTGAAGGACATGAGGCAGGAGTTGATAATGCAGGTGGGCTGTGCACAGGTGAGCTGCAAGCAAGCTGCCGGCCAGCTCTGTGGAGGCTCCTTTTATTGACACAATATGCAAACCCAGGCAGATACATTTTGGGCTGTGACCTTTGCACATCTTCCAGTCCCGAGATCGTGGGGTGGTACAAAGCTATTTTAGCACCTGTTTCCACCGCATCATTTTCCCCTTGCACAGTGTATGACGAAGGATACAAAGGTCTCAGAGACAAAGGTTACAGACAGGACACTGCAGACTACTGAGACTGCAAAAGGTTAGACAGAAGGCAAGATGTTCAGACAGTTGTGGCTTTATCTATGAGGGGGAGTGTGCCCTGCACCCCAAGGTCACACGTATGGGAAGTGTGCTCCGCACCCAGTGATCATCCCTACAACAGAGTATAGTTGTTGTATGCAGCCGCCATACGCAGGTATCAGACGAAGGATATGAAAGATCTTAACATGTGCCTTTGCAAAATATAGTTGTTGTATGCCCTTGTCAGATGAAAGAACTTAAACGTGACAAGGATTCCTGGAATAATACCTTGTTTCGCCCTGCCGGGCTTCGTCAGCCAAGCATACTCATATTTTGTGTATCAGAGACATGGAACAAGTGACATGGCAGATATCCTCTTCCCTGCCGAGATCTAAAAGGGCCTCACTGAGACTAAGAAGAGGGAAGCCAATAGCATCACCCCCTGGACTGGCTGTAAATAGGCAGGTGGAAGAAGCCTGAGGGCAGACTGAGGTTTTAGTCCCCCATTCACACAAATGAACCAGTCTGCACTACATAACAATTCTTTAAGCTTCATAACCATTTCTTGATGACAGAACTCCAGATAGTGTTTGCATAAACTATGAGGCTTTAGATTTCACTTAAATTGTATCTAGTGGTAATCGAATCCCTGCAAACAACCTGGAAAATAAACAAACGAATCCGAGAGTAATCTCATGTTATTGTAGTTTATAGCCCACCTTCTCCTCAATACATAGTGTCCTCAGATTTCTCCCTTGGTGTCTGTCAAAATGCACTGTAGCTCCAATTTAATAATAATAATAATAATAATAATAATAAATTACTTATATCCCATCCATCTGGCTGGGTTTTCCCCAGCCACTCTGGGCGTCTCCCAACAGAATATTAAAATATTAAAAACACGATTTAATACCTTATTGTGTGTGAAGGTGAAAAGTGGATTAGTGAGGCTGCAAACAAAGGGTTGTGTAGGCTTGCTCCTGTCAGTTACAAACCATGGTTTGTCATTTTATCTGGTGTAAACTTGCAATTTTTTATGCTTCCACCTGCCCACCCTGCCCTACTCCCAGAGAGTTCTGACTGCGCAGTCTGCCCTGAGAATTGGTTCCGTCTCAACAGCAAGTGCTACTGGTTCTCCAGTGAAAAAGGAGACTGGACCGAGAGCAAAGACAACTGCAGAACAAAAGACTCTCGATTGTTGGTGATAAAGAATCAAGAAGAAGTGGTAAGTAAATAAGAGTTAGATCCACGTTCCTTATTGATGGGGTGGAGGGGAGCCACTGCCAAGATGAGGACCATTCCATCTTGCATATATTTATTGTGGCATTTATAGTCCACACTTTTGAAATCCAAAGATAAATAAAAGGGGGTAAATGTATTCCACTGTGTTTCAATCGCATCGTTTATCTAACACAATGTACATAATGCATCTAATATGTGACTCTGTAGTGTAGTGGGTTGGCCAAATAATTTTAGGATATGCTAGGAATCTACCACAAGGGAACTTTTCATTCCCTTATACTGGGACTCTGTTTGATTTTACTTATACAGCCAAACTAAAAATTATGTTCAGTCACATGCAGTTTCTTTTTCAAAATACAATAGGGAGCCTTGGGAAAGATTAGGGGGCCATTGAAATTAGCTTATTTAACCTTTTCGTTGGTTCCTCAGCTCCCATTGCAGAGTGCCAGGAAATCTGCATTACGCATTTGAGGAGTAAATATCCTTTAAAATTCACAGTTCTATGAATTTTGAAGTGCAATTCCTTTCAGTTTTCCATCTTTCTTTCTTTCTTTTCTTTCTTTCTTTCTTTCTTTCTTTTCTTTCTTTCTTATTAAAAAAACATAGTCATACCTCAGGATAAATGTGCCTCAAGTTAAGTATTTTTGGGTTGTGCTCTGTGGCGACCCGGAAGTAACGTTACTTCTGGGTTTCGCCGTGCACGCATGCACATACAATCAAAATGCCGTCACGCACATGCACAGAAGCGGCGAAACGCGGGTTTTGCTTCAGGATGCAAACAGGGCTCCAGAACGGATCCCGTTCACATCCCAAGGTACCACTGTAGTTCCCATGAAAATTCAACAGCATACTTGTGCATACTTGTTTCCTTCAGCACCATAATTCAAAAGCATCAATTCTTTGGTGATTAGTCTTCTTTATGGTCCAGCTCTCACTTCCATATATCACTACTGAGAAAACCATAGCTTTAACTAGACGGACCTTTGTTGGCAAGGTGATTTCTCTGCTTTTTAAAATGCTGTCTAGGTTTTTAAGATGCTGTCTAGATACTATAGTAGAGACTAATTGCATTGTTTACAGGACTTTATACTGCGTAATACCCAATATCCACTGCTTTGGATTGGATTACAAGCCACACCTCCTGACTGGAAATGGACCTGGGTGGACGGCTCCCCGTTAGATGACAAACTGTGAGTATCTCATCTTACTCTGCAGAGCAGGGGTGAGGAGGACCAGATCTTCATCTCCCCAAATCCTCTGCTCAGTCATATGCCATGCTAATCACATCAGGTCATTGACACTGTCAAAATACACCGTTTTAGTGTACCCTAAAGTCCCAAGGTGAGTTACAACATTAAAACACAGTTGAAAACAACTTACCACCACAGAAATAAGGTGGGTCCTAAAAACATACCCTTCGAATGTCAGAAGCCAAGGTAGAGGTGACTCTTCTGCATCCACCAGAAGCTGTATATATAATGAAAGATGCCAAAGGCACCTCTGAACTACCTGGTGCTCACTTGTGAAGCTCACTAGGTAATCTTGCACCAGTCTCTCTCAGCAAAATCTATGTTTGGTCTGTGGCCTTTTAGAAGTGGGCAGGATGGGCTTTTAAAAAATGTATTTCTTTTTTCCTCTTGGTTTTAATGTATCCTAATGAGGGGTTTTGTTTGTTTGTAAGTTGCTTTTAGTTGCCCTGGGCAAAATAAAGCGACTCACAAATTTAATATACTGTATAGTAAGTAAATGCCTCAGGGTACACGGGTGGCGCTGTGGGTTAAACCACAGAGCCTAGGACTTGCCAATCAGAAGGTCGGCGTTTTGAATCCCTGCGACGGGGTGAGCTCCTGTTGCTCGGTCCCTGCTCCTGCCAACCTAGTAGTTTGAAAGCACATCAAAGTGCAAGTAGATAACTAGGTACCGCTCCGGCGGGAAGGTAAATGGCGTTTCCGTGTGCTGCTCTGGTTCGCCAGAAGTGGCTTAGTCATGCTGGCCACATGACCCAGAAGCTGTACGCCGGCTCCCTCGGCCTATAGAGCGAGATGAGCGCTACAACCCCAGAGTCGGTCACGACTGGACCTAATGGTCAGTGGTCCCTTTACCTATACAGTAAATGCCTCCCAAGGTTATTGTGGAAATAAGTGAAACAATTTTGCATTGCCTTGAATTCCTTTGCAAAAGGGCAGAAAGAAGGGGGCATACGTCCACACCCCTTCAAAGAGAAATGCGTGCAAGTTCTCCTCTTGTGGTTCACTGGGAGCATGAGGGGAAACCTTAGTTAAACCACAGCAAGTTCTTGCAGCCCAGGGAAACTCACTGGCAAAACATTTGAGAACCACAAGTCTTGATTCCACGTGATAGGATCGCACCTAATGGGCAAGCCTAGGCAACGCAATTGTGCAGTGAGTAATAACAACAAACAACAACAACTATTATTATTATTATTATTATTATTATTATTATTATTATTATTTAAACTTCGCCCATATGGCTTGGTTTCCCCAGCCACTCTTGGTGGCTCCCAGAAGAATATTAAAAACACAATAAAACATCAAACATTAAAACAGAGCTGCCTTCAGATGTCTTCTAAAAGTCAGTTTGTTGTTTACAGTGGTGCCTCGCAAGACGAAATTAATTCGTTCCGCAAGTCTCTTCGTCTTGCGAGTTTTTCGTCTTGCGATGCACGGTTTCCCATAGGAATGCATTGAAAATCAATTAATGCGTTCCTAGGGAAACCGCCTTCAGACCAGGTCTGGGGACAGTCTGTCCCCGGACCTCTTCTGAAGGCTGGGCGGGGGGGGGGGGGACAAGGGCTTTTCTTCCCACCCCCAGCATTTTAAAAAACCCCGGGACAGCGGAGGACTTCTCCGCTGTCCGGGCGATCTTAAAATGCTGGCGGGCGGCATTTTAAAATCGCCCCGGACAGCGGAGGACTTCTCCGCTGTCCGGGGCGATTTAAAAGCCCCTGGGAAGGCAGGCAGGGGGGACAAAGACTTTCGCCCCCCGCCCGCCTTCAGAAGGTGTTCCCGCCCCCCCGTCCCGCTTCGGAACAGCGTTCCGAAGCGGGGCGGCTGGGGCGGGTGTTCCCGCCCCCCGCCCTGCTTTGGAACAGCGTTACGAAGCGGGGCGGCTGGGGCAGGTATTCCCGCCCCCCCCGCCCCGCTTCGGAACAGCGTTACGAAGCGCGGCGGCTGGGGCAGGTGTCCCGCCCCCCCCGCCCCGCTTCGGAACAGCGTTACGAAGCGGGGCGGCTGGGGCAGGCGTTCGCTCCCGACCCCCAGCATTTTAAAATCTCCCCGGGACAGGGGGAGATTTTAAAATGCTGGGGTCGGCAGCGAACGCTTCACTCCCGCCCGCCAGCATTTTAAGATCGCCCGGGGCAGGCGGGGGGGAAGGCAGGCAGGGGGGGAGCAAAGACTTTTGCCCCCGTCGGCCTTCAGAAGAGGTCCTCTTCTGAAGGCCGGCTGTGGGCGAAAGTCTTTGCTCCCGACCGCCAGCATTTCCCTATGGGCTTTCGTCTTGCGATGCAAGCCCATAGGGAAATTCGTCTTG